AAACCACCAGGTAAACCCCAAACGAAGCTTGCAAACAAGACTACTCTGGATATTCCAAAATGTCATGAAAGGGGAAGAAAAGGACAAGGAACTACTCCCGATGTAAGGAATTACAGACAAGGCAATTACGTGCAGCCCCAGATTAAGGCATTGAGGCTTAAATTCATAATTAACATACTTAAAAACACGTTGTTGGAACAACGAGGAACATCTGAATGTGGACCCAATAGACAGTAACAAAGTTAACTTCCTTGTATGTGGTGATAATTTTTTGTTTTTACCTAGAATGCCCTTCTTTCTGAAACATAAGAGTTGTTTAGTGACGACATGGCACAAAACACTAATTTGGCAAATAGTTATACATGGTAAATCTAGAGAGAGGTACCGTACAGGTGTTCACTGTACCATTCTTGATTCTTTGCTTAGGGTTAAATTTTTTAAAATTGCAAATGGAGGACATTTTTTTTTATTTTGAGAGATGTATCCTAAGTCAGTCTGGACATAATGCATACAGTACATACCTGCTTTAGTCTTTGGAATCATGGGCGAGACTTCTGAGGTTGCCATAAAACACAACTGTAAAAAGCTTTAACTCATTCTTACAGACTGATGTCAGATGCCAAAATTCATAAGAAATTACAGAACAGCACTCGGATTTTTTCATGACATTTATATTTAAATTTCCAGAAGGTGTTACACATTTTAAAGATAAGCTTCGTTTGTGATTCATTTATTCTTTCAAATGACTTACCATATAGCTGCTGAGGTAAGCTAGAAAGAAATCTATCAATATATAAATCTGCCGGCCTACAAACTCTTTCAGGAGAAAGCAACAAAAAGCTTAACCAAGTCAAATGACTGTTTTTCCAGACAGAGCTGGATGGACTGCAGGAGCGGGGCCCACGCTCCCTAAGGGACACCGAATGCCCTGGTTTGTGCCTGTCGTTCCTCATCTCTTCTTATTGAGCATTTGTCCCAGGCAGGCAAAAGCACCTCAGATACAAATGTCTCGGTTTAGATGTACATCATGCAGTACTACAGTGTAGTTAACTTCTCTTATATGATGGTATTTAATGTTGATTTAGAAAAACCAACAGTGTAACACGAAGCATGCCACTTGTGCTTAGATAATATACCCTACTTAGGGGTGTCGAACTCAATCAGAGAAGGGGCCAAAATCTAAAATCCAGCCTAAATCACGGGCCGAATGGTTACTGAACAGTCATAAACTGTCATTGTGATGGAAATGCAGCGAAGTGCAGTGATGACAGCGCGGTGCAGGCCACATTGCAAGGCCTGGCGGGACGGATTTGGCCCGAGGGCCTTGTGTTTGACACATGTGCTACATTATGGTAAATTCCTTACTAGAATGGAGAAAAATGGTTCTAACGTGTTTAGAAAGCAGAAACCAAAGTTATCTTTTTCTCTACTGTGTAATATAGAATAAACACTGCACAGCTGTAGGGAGTCAAAAGGCCTGTCACTGGTTAAGGGAATATAACCTTGACCAAGTTATTGGCTTTGTCTCAACCACAGCTTTCTCTTGTGAAAAATGAAGGGATCAAAATGCTGACAGGTCTCTACTTGATGTCATCGTCCAGCTCTAAATACTCAGTAATTTCATGGTTTGGGCCACCAAAATATTTTTTAATTGAATCAGCTGAGTTAGACTTTTTTACAACTAGAAAATACAACCTATCTTCCTTCCCAAACTGCTATTTCTGTTCTGACCTCTCCTCTCCTCTCCTCGGAGGCTGGGTGAATCTCCCATTACCCAGGATGAAGGCCACTTAGACTCCTCTCAACTCTCCCTGCTTCCAACTCCTCAGGGACGTTTTCTCTCTCACCTTTTCTATCCCTTCAATTCAGGTCTGCATCACCTTTTACCTAGACCACTAGTTATCATTCTATCATCTTGGTACTTTGAAATATATAATAGCTTCTCAATCTGATATTCAAGAACCTCTCCATCTGCCCCACCTTTTTATGCCAATTGTACTACTCACTGCCATTTCAACATTCCCTGTACTTTCCGGATCAAATGCCTTTACCCCTGCTGTTCTTACACAGCCCTTTTCTCTGCTTTTCAAAATCGATTCCATTATTTAAAGCTCAGTTCCAATGGTGATCAGTTCCCTTTTCAGTGTCCATAATACTAACATAAAGAGACAATTTTACTGGCCAACAGTGGAGAAAGACAGCTTACCTAGGGTGGCAAAAGAAAATTATCTCTTTGCCAATTTTACTGACCTTGTTCCCTGGCACAGGGTCCTGAGAACTTAGCAGAGGAAAAGGAGAATTTCTGGCAGTACGAATTAGACATTTCAGATACTAGAAGTCAGAGGTCCACACAATGGGATTTACACTCCCAAGGTATTAAAAGATGTTTAAATTAACAGAAATTAATTTAACATTTAAAGATTTAACATTACATGGTTATCTTCAGAAAAAATACAAAGCTCCAGAACAGTGTTTCCAACTGAGACAATTTGTCCCCCCACCCCCAAGGGGGATTCTGGCGGTATAGGAAGACATTTCTGATAGTCAACTGGATGGAGTGTTACTGGCAGATACTGAACAGTCTACAATGCATAGGGCAGGCACTGCAATAATAAATGATCTGATCCAAAACATCAACAGTGCCCAGGTTGAAAAACTTCGATCTAGAAGAATAGCATGTATTTCTGCCTCCTCAGATATTCAAATGTTTCCAGATGAAAAAGCATGTCTCTAATCAGAGACAATATAGTCTGAAGCCAGAAAGCGCCTCCGATTTCCAGTACCACGATCTCCTGAAAGTTACCTAACCTTTTTGTGCCTTTAAGTCTTCATCTGTAAAACCGGGATAATAAGAGCACCTATCTCACAGAATGTTCCAACAATCAGGTGAGTCCATTTAAAGTCCTTGGTAAAGTATACCAGGCAGATATAAGCATTCAATAAATTTAGCTACTTTCATTCCTCTCCTCCCTAGGGCCTTGTCTTGCAATTGGAACATAGAAGATGCTCAAGAAATGTTTCCTAAGTGAATAATGCCTGTTCCTCCTGGGGAGGGCACAAATAGGTAAAGATAGATAAATGCTCTTTATTGGGGGGTGGGGGGGAGGAAGAGGTAAAGGTGGAAGGAACCATTTGCCCTCCCACTCACATCTCTCCCTCCACAGAACCGTTTCAACCTCTGGGAAATGTGCCCCTCTCATGGCCCTTAGGGCAGGCCATCCTGTAACCTCCTTCCTATTTTCTTTTTTGTCCTTCTGACCAACTGAAGTTGCTCATTCATAATGAGGTGACTTCTCTGGACCCCTACCATCACCTACCATATATTAATTGTTTATGGACTTATTGTCGTCTTCCTATAGACTGTACAAGCTTTCCATGGCTAGGGACAACAGTTGAAACCTTTTTATATAACCCAAGGGCCTACAGACCTTAGCAACTGTCCGGCCGAGCCTGGCGTTTTATACATTAGGCACAGAGAAGCTAAGTGAATTGCCAAGAGTCAAGGTCATATTGCAAGTGGTAGGTAGCTAGGATTCAAACTCTGATACTTAACTGATACAGAGAATCCAAGTACTATCTGACTGACTGCAATCACATATGAAAACTGTATCTGTGGTAGAGACCATTTTTTTAATTAAGTACCAGAAAACCTCTGCAGGAATTATACTGATAGTTACCTGACAAAGCAAAAATGGAGAGAAATAGACCCAAACTCCAAACTCCTTCCTGCTGCTGAAATTACACCTTGAAGACTCCACCTGATTTGTATCTTTAACATTTCCTTAATAGCTTCTGACAACAAAACTTATTTAAATGTCCAACAAACAGTTAAGTCAGTGATGTCAGGCTTAATTTCCTTTAAATGGTTCCATAATTATTTTAAGTAACAGAAAATCTCTTCTTTGGTAGTCAATGATGCCTACCCTTCACCAACTGAACAGAATCTTTAAAAACCACTTGAACAGACTCCTATCTCAAAAAACTCAAAAGACCAGCAATTTGAAATGATCCTATATGGCAAAAAACAGTCAGGCAATTGGCGTTGTGTGTTAACCTCAACATAAACTAAACCTCACAGTCCTCACGCAAAAACTACACGAAGACCTGAGACAGGAGAAATTTTATTTTATCCTGTTCAAGTGAAACAAAGCTGTTCACTTATCAGGTTAATCTGGAAGTTTCTCTGAATGTCCCAAATGATGCAAAAGAAAGCAGCAAGTAGGAAAGAAAAAGACTGTAAGACAGAACACTGAAAAAGAGTTAAGCATGGTGCATTGATTGCTTTGACGCTTAAGCAATTACAGCTCAATAAAAGTAAACAATTCCATAAACTTGACATAAAGGCATCATTAAAAAAAACACAAAAACACACACACTCCCTCTGAGGTGATGGTTTGTTACCAGTGCAAAAGCACTCAAGCCCAGTAAGAATGATAACCACATATGGGGAACATATTTTAAATTATTTTACCAGCCTACAAAAGAGCGTAGACAGGAATCGTAGTTTCGAAAGAAAACAAAACGCAGTTTCTGCTTGGTGAAGTTCAAGGGCAAAACTGCTCCCAGTGCAACAGAACCCTCCTGACTACAGTGTTGGGGGGAAGGGGGGGGAGAAATGCGAACACATAGTGTCTTTTTATAAAGGCAACAATTTGAGTTACAAAGTAATAACGGGGAAGCCAAAACAGTTTGACAGCACGCCCTAAGGGCTGCCTCAATCGTGAGTCACACAATGCCTGCAACCACTTACAATAGTAATTAATGCACAAGTCCCCTAATTAAATCCTAAAAGGGCGAGAATGCTTTAACTAAGTTTACAAGAATTGCCTCTCGCTGGCCGCCCCAAATAAAGGCAAACACGCTAATGACGCGGCACCCGCAGCCCCGCCGCCGGGACGCGCGGCCCCGGGCGCTGCCTGGCGCGAGGACACGGGGACCCGCGGCCCGAACATGCGCGGAGCGGGGCTCCCGCCGCAGGGCGCGGCGCGGCGCCGTCTTACCTGCTAAGAGTCCTCTCTACGTCTTTGGTCGCTTTAGCTTCCAATTCTCTGAAAGAGAGAAAGGGAGGGACGCGCCTGAAGCGGAGCCCTGCCGCAGAGGCGGCGGCGCGGTGGGGGAGGGGCGGGCGGGCGGCTGCGGGGCTGCAGCCCTCGGCGCCCAGGGGCGGCGGCGCCCCCCCACCCCCAGGCCCGCGGCCCCCGCCCGCCGCCCGCCGGGAGCAGCCCGCGCCCCACCCAGGCCCGCAGCGCGGGCGCCCGGCCCCGCCACCGCCGGCCGCGGGCCCTGCGGCAGGGCTCCCCCGCCGCGGAGCCGAGCCGCTCACCTCATGTGTAAAGTGCACGAGCGAGTGGGGCGGGCGAGCGAGGCCGCGAGCCTCAGGCCCTGCGCAGCGCCGCGGGGACAGGCCCGAGCGGCCGCGCCAGCGCCATTTTCTACACCGACCCGCCGCTGCCGCCGCCGCAGCTGCTGCCGCCGCCGCAGGCCCCCGGCCGGAAGTGAATGCCCCGCTCCGCAACCCCTTCCGGGGCGCCCCGCCGCCGCCTCAAGATGGAGACCTAGCAACTGGGCCCGCGCCGGCCGAGCCCGTGGCAACCGCCGGGCCGAGCGCTGCCCCCCGCCCGTCCCTCCTGCCGCCGCCCGGGCGCCCGCACAGCGCGGGCCGGGGTCCGAGCCCGACGGCGTCGCCGCGCTGTTCGGATGTGACAGAGGCCTCCCCTCCGCGGCGGCGCGGGCTCCCGCTCCCGCCCCTCCCCTCCCCCACACACACACCACACACATTCCCCCTCCCCACACACACACACCACACACTCACACACACCACACTCACACACACACACCAAACACACTCCCCCACAGAACCACTCACACCACACACACACACACACACACACACACACACCGGCCCCTCCCCCACAGAAACACACACACACACACACACACACACACCGGCCCCTCCCCCACAGAAACACACACACACACCACACACACACACTCACATCGGCCCCTCCCCCACAGGACCACACACACCACACACACACACACACACCGGCCCCTTCCACACATACACACACACATACACACACACACACACCGGCCCCTCCCCCACAGAACCACACACACACACTCACACACACACGCACGCACTCACACACACACACACGCACTCACACTCACGCACGCGCACACATCTCCTAAGCCGCAGGGTCCGCCCTGAGCGGCCTCAGCCCGCGGGGCCGGTGTGACCTTGGGCCGCTGTTGGACCCGCTCGGCGCCCCGCAGGCGGGAGCACGCGGCGCCGCAGGGCCCGGAGGCCTCCCCTGAGCCCCGCCGGGACAACGGCCAGAACTGCCCCTCGGGTCTCACAAGCCCCTTCCGACCCGGGGCCTGGCCCCGGGGGCGGCGCGGGCGGCAGAGCTCGGCCCGCGGTGGACGCGGCTTCAGTCTCAGGCACGCGGACCAGGGTGTGCAGCACTGACACAGGGTCCTGGCCATCCACCCGCACGGGCGGCCATGTGCCGGCCGCTGTCACTGTAACGGGCAGCCTGCGGGGCGGAGGCCGGCGCCCCGGCCGAGCGGGGAGCAGCGGGTTGGAAGGTGCCCGGGGCCCCAGCGGCCCGGGAACGGGCGGGCGGGCGCTGGCCTGGCGGGAACCGGGAGGAGCAGGGAGATGGCTACGATGGGGCCGGCGAGAAGCGGTCCCAAGGGAGCTCGCCAGAAACGAACATACATATGCTTACGGTGCTACATATGTAGACACGGTGAGATACAGCCGTGCGAATAGCGGGAGAAAACAGACCTGCCGGCATGCAGATAGACAAAGATCGATACACGCCGAAGGAAGAGCGGACGGGAGATGCACAATGCACACGCTTGTAGATAAAATTAGGTGCGGACATTCGTGTGCTTTCTTTCCATCCTCTCACAATGCCTTTTCCCTAACGTGAAAATGAGTCTTCCTCTGTGCTTAACACCCATGCTTTATTCTGAGAAAGAATGGATTTTTTCTCATCCCATTTTCCTCTTTCTAAGCTAGGTTCTTCCTCTGGCTTTAAAGAATGCCCAAGTTTCTCCCATTAAAAAGAAACAAAGCCACCTAGACTGCCCCGTTCCCATCATCTCTGGGGGAGATGTGAACTAAAAACTGAATGAATGAATGAATGAATGAATGCCCAAAGTCCTAAAACACGTGCGCCAAAATGTTATTTTTCTTCTTTAAATGTATCTGTGTGTGCGTGTGTGATTTTTCTTTTTATACAATGAGAATGTGTAAAAAAAAAATTGTTTTAATCAGGTTTAAAAATTGTAAAATGTAGAGGGCAACAAATAAATGCTAGTTACTTTCCTTTTTCTGCCATGGTCCCTACTCTCAATTCACCCATACATATATTTACTTTTGTTTTCCTTTATCGTCATTTCTACTTAAAATGTTAAAAAAAAATAAAAAAAATTGCCCAGCAGTGTGGCTTAGTGGTTGAGCGTCCACGTATGAATTAGGAAGTCCCAGTTGGATTTTCTCTCAAATGGGGGCACCTGGCCAGGGCACAGGATCCCCAGTAGGGGTTGTGCAGCTGATCAATGATTCTCGTCGCTACTGTTTCTCTCTCTCCCTCTCCCTTCCTCTCTGAAGTCAATAAAAGTGTATTTTAAAAATATATATTACAGTATTTCTTTAGGAATTAAAAAGTATGAATCACAGTATGCTTTCATGCCAGCCTTATGACTAATTTTCCACAACAGCATAAGGCAATGAAAACAGTAATACTATCAACATTTGCACAGCTGTCAAGTTTAGCTGACTCTTTTAAAAATTAGGCTTTTCTTAGCTTTGAATAACTCGATGTTTCTTTTTTCTTCTAAATATGTTTTTATTGATTTCAGAGAGAGAGGAAGGGAGATGGATTTAGGGAAACGTGGATTGGCTGCCTCCAGCATGCCCCCTACTGGGGATCGAGCCTGAAACCCGGGCATGTGCCCTGACCAGGAATAGGACCAGCAACCTTTCAGTGCATGGGAGGACACCCTACCCACTGAGCAACACCGGCCAAGGCTCAGGCTGGAGGTTTGACCCTGTGGACAAAAACAGACTTCATACTTCAGATCCACTGGAGCCACCATTTTTACTTTACTTGCATAATCAATTAGGAACAAAACCAGAAACAGAGTCCTCTATAGAGTAATGGGTGTGAGCGAAAAGGGGCTGCATGCTAACCTGACTAGCTCAGGGAAGGCCTTTGTGGCGGCCTTGCAAACTCCTAAAGTAACCACAAAGGAGGGTTTGAAATTAAAACTTTTTAAACAAAAAAGTTTATGGTGGGGAGTCATGTCCAAGGCAATGGTCATGTAGCTTCCCTTTAACGGAGCCTGGCTATTATCTTTTTGCATCTATGATAACATATTGTTGGAATGTCAAAGTTCTTTTCCTTATTCCAGATCCCTCAAAGCACAGGCACCACAAGTCCCTTTATTTTTATTGAGTTAATTGTTGACTGTTAGCTGTCCTGCACCCACCTAAGTAAAAGAAGTATACATCTGTCATTTTCTTTTTTATCCAATCCCAGACGTTTCCCCACTTTGCTTTCTCCCACCTCCCTAATCTATCACCAGTGCATTTCATGTAATCCATTTCTGCCTCCTCTTTTGATTGTAATGTATAAAACAAGGTGCAAAACTACCATTCTCAGGAGCATTATCTCAATCCATTGAGACTCAGCTTCCCTGCCTTTGTCAACAGTTTGGCTCAAATAAACTCACAAAAATTCTTCACAGGTTTAAATGTTTCTATGTTAACATAGGTTTCATCGACACAGCTCATTGAAGTAAGCAAATACCATGTTCTACAAGAAGCATATTACCTAGGTTAAGTGAATATTAGAATTTTTGCAGGCCTCATGGTTGAAGTCTATACAGTTAGAGAATTTGTTTTCTGTGGTATTAAATCTTTTTCAATAATAACTTTTTATGGAATAGTTCAGGAAGAATCTAGATCTCAGGAAGGTCCTTGCTTCTTCTTAGTAAGCATAATAAGAAGTAGAGATCGTACAAATTTAAATTTAAATAAGATCTTTTATTCTCCATTTGTCTTTCTTTCTTGGGTGCTTTATTCCTTTGGTTTCTGAAGTCAGCAGAGAATATATATTCTCCATCCCTCTCTTCCTTGTTCTACTGAGTAGAATAAATGACTAGCCTGGTACTTGGAAATTATGTACTTGAAAGAAGATGCTTTTTTTTTCTCCCAAGACTTCACCATAAAATATCATCATGAAATATGTATGTATTTTTTAGGTAAAGCACACTCAAATATTTTTAAATTTAGAAGAAATCTCCATAATAACGTATAAATGGAAATTGAGGCATTAACTTGAACAAAATTTCCTAGAGAGTATGTTATTTGTTTTAACTAAAACTTATCTGGTACTTAATAAAGATGTGCCAGCCATACACTGTTCCCAGTTAAGTACTTTACAAATATGAACTAGTCATTATTATCGTCCTCACACAGTCCAATGGGGTTGGATGCTACCCCTATTTTAGGGATGAGGATAATTAACTTGCCCAAAGTCACATAAATAGTATAGTAGAACCAGGCAATTTGGTGCCCAAGCCCAGGTCACTAACTACTACTTCATAGATCTCGTTTTCTCAATCATATTGGACCCTGTAGCCCCTTGGAGAAATATTTTATAACACCACTTCTTACTGTCCCAAAATGGTAAACATAGGTAATATATACTACCTAATACACAATTTCAAAATACATATAATGATTTGTCTCTGATATAAAAAGAGGCATAGGATAAAAGTAAATATAAAAAAAAAAATGCTGCCCTTGCTGGTTTGGCTCAGTGGAGAGAGCGTCGGCCTGCAGACTGGAAGGGTCCCATGTTCGATTCCAGTCAAGGGCACATGCTCGGGTTGTGGGCTCCATCCGCAGTAGGGGGCATGCAGGAAGCAGCCAATCAATGATTCTCATCATTGATGTTTTCTATCTCACCCTCTCCCTCTCCCTTCCTCTCTGAAATAAAAAATACATATATTTTAAAAATCAATTAATTTATTTAATTAAATGCCTTTTGCTAAGCACACGTGTGGGCTGGTCTGCTCTGGAAGGCTGGGTAAGGCAGGCAGACGCTGACCCCTGGGAGGAATCCCACCACAGATACAGATCCACTCAGCAGCGGCACATTGGTTATTCACAGACCAAGACTGTGATGTTGAAGGTGTAATCTTTCTGGAATATAGAGCAAGGCCCAGTCAATTTCTCAACCGCTAGAAACAATTCTTCCTCCATTTATGTGCTCGCTGCATTGCTGGACATTTCAGGCTATATTACAACCGCAAAAGTAAGGCATTCGGTCCTCAGACGATGAGCATGCCTTTACCTACGTGAACTTTCAGCGATGGGCTAGTCTATGTCCTGTGGGACTGCCCTGGTCCAGCACCCACAGTTCCTTGCAATGGATCTTAATAGCACCACTGCCTCCGCCCCACCCGACACACACACTCTGTGATAGCCAGAAACACTGTAGTGTAGTGGGTCCCCAAACTCTCTGAGGAGTGGTGTTAAGTGTTGCTATGGAGACGCGTGGAGACGGGAATCCTGAGAAAGTTTGATACTCCAGTGAAAACTAGAGCAAGATGGGAAGGAAGGCAGGGTAAGTGGAGTGCAGTGGGGTCAGATGATGCCTCCCAGCCTGACATTG